GGGAATAGGGAGGCCGCTCAAGAAGTGGACAGCAAGCTGCAGCTTTTCAAGGAGAACCGGAGGAGGAGGAAGGAGAGGAAGGAGAAGAAGCGCCAGAGGAAGGGGGAGGAGTGCAGCCTTCCCGGCCTGACCTGCTTCACTCACGACAACAACCACTGGCAGACGGCCCCCTTCTGGAACCGTGAGTCCCGCGTTCTTTCTAACTTACTGCCACTTCCAGCCGCCACAGAGACACCGTGACTCACTGCAGGCATTGAGATGAGGCTTTCAGCAGATGCAGCCGGACTCTGGAATCACGGAGAGAGGAGCCGCATATTAGTTTCCATACTGGCAACTAGAGTCATTTTGCCAGACATTGCTATCAATCTATCTATCTATCTATTTATTTACTTGAAATTTGTTTTGGTATTTTGTTTGAAAATGCCGAGCTCTCTCTGGGTTTTCCTCCTGATGTTTCCCACAGGACCCAGCCTCCCAGGAAGACTGCTCTATAGCAAATCAACTAAGCAACAGTGACAACTTTGCCCCAAATATATGTTGTTTCTGCTCTAGTTCAAGTGTGTACTCTGTGTATAACACAGGAAGTGCAGCTCCTCAAAGGCAGGGTCCACATCCTACTGAGTCAGTCCCCTTCAGTACCTGGCACTGCTTGCAGAATATTAGGGACACTGCAAAGTGTCTGGTTTTACAGGATACTGAGGATATGGAATACGCTTGTGCACTTGTTTGTTTTAACCCTTATCCGAGGATATTTTTCCCATTGATCTTTAGAGAGAGAGAGTGGGAGAAAGGTAGCAGGAGGAAAGAGAGAGAGAAAGAGAAAGATCAATGTGAAAGAGACACATCGACTGATTACCTCCCACACTTGCCCAGACTGGGGCGGGTATGGACTACTACTGAGGTACATGCCCTTGACTGGGAATCGAACCTATGACCCTTCCATCCATGGGCCAACGCTCCAACCACTGAGCCAAACCAGCCAGGGCCACACTTCTGTATTTTCAATGAATGCTTATATTGCTATAGTGCAGTGGTTCTCAACCTTCTGGCCCTTTAAATACAGTTCCTCATGTTGTGACCCAACCATAAAATTATTTTCGCTGCTACTTCATAACAGTAATGTTGCTACTGTTATAAATCGTCATGTAAATATCTGATATGCAGGGCGGTCTTAGGCGACCCCTGTGAAAGGGTCGTTCGACCGCCAAAGGGGTCGCGACCTACAGGTTGAGAACCGCTGCTGTAGTGGTTTTGGGTCACAGAGAAATAACACCCTAACTTCTGTGGCATGTTATCTGACTGAAGGCCTGTCATCCAGTGGAGTAGTTGAAATACCCCCTGGGTCAGTGGTCAGTGTTTCTCAAACTGGGATTTGGAGATGTGCAGAAACCCCAGACTATTCTCGGGGGTTGGGGGATACAAGTGGGTGCCTAGGGCTTATCTGTGCAGCATTTTGGTTTTTTTGCCTTGATGCTTCTTTTTTTTAATATATTGTATTGATTTTTTACAGAGAGGAAGGGAGAGGGATAGTTAGAAACATCGATGAGAGAGGAACATCGATCAGCTGCCTCCTGCACACCCCCTACTGGGGATGTGCCCGCAACCAAGGTACATGCCCTTGACCGGAATCGAACCCGGGACCCTTGAGTCTGCAGGCCGACGCTCTATCCATTGAGCCAAACCAGTTAGGGCTGCCTTGATGCTTATCTTAGTATCCATGTTTGCAATGAAGTCTACAGTCACACGAAGGCTGAGCAAACTCTTCAAGGCGCAGCACTTAACTTTTAACGTGCTTTCCTAAAGCGGGTGCGGGGATATCTGAGGGTCATTCAGATGGCTGGGGTCTGTTCTCCGCCAGGCCCTGGGCTGAGCCCTGCGGACACAATAATGAACAAGATGTACCTCATGACCCATATTCTAGTGGGGGCAGGCGGTGGGGGCGGTGAGGTACCATAAAAAGAAAGTGAAATAATTACAAAGTGTGGTGATGCTATAAGGAGACGGTTAATCGACGTTATTCAAAGGGACCATTTTGAGAGGGTGGGGCTGATGGGCCTTTCTGAAGAGGTGACATTTAAGCTGAAACCTAAAGGATTCAAAGAAGCAGTTGGTGTGGAAGGGGTCCTGAGTGGGAGGGGGCAACACCCCAGGCAGAGGGAAAAGCAGGAGCGGGGTCCTGAGGAAGTGACGGATGTGCTGTGTCAGGGCTGGCAAGCCCTTCAAAGATGGAGTATTGAGAAATGTGAAGTTGCCATTTGCTCGTAACTCCCACGGGAGGTGACTCAGACCTCTATCAGCTGTACCCATCTGAGCTGTGACCATCCCACCGTTTCCTACCTCAACCCCTGCAAAACTTGTGTGTCTCCCAGACGCTCCTCTCGCTATTGCCAGTCTGTTCTGCTCAGAGGATTTAGAGTCATCACTTAATGACATCCGGTTTTTCGTAGGAGAAAGAGCAAAATCCTTATGTAACAAAGCCCCGTGT